CAAAGGCTTGAAGCCTTCCTAGTTACTCTTTCCCCAACATACATTTTCTTCCACCCCTATTGTAAGCTACACTTACCCGAGAGTAAATCCCATTGATTCCAACAGAATTTACTTCCAAGTAAATAGCGTAGGTTTGCAGCCGCCTTCTAAAGAGGAGGGGAAAGAGAAAGAAACATAGATCAACAAGACTAGAAATATATCAGGTATTCAGCTACTTGTGTGCCTAACAAATCAAATGTTGATTCTCAGGAACCTTGAAAATGTTTCCAAGTCTGCATGGGGCAAGAGACTAAAACATCTGATGAACACTGCAGAAAATCTCCCCTCCACACCCATGTCTCAGGACTGTGGTTTAACTCTCAATATATCAGAATATTTTCCTAAACAATCTGAACTACAGATCACACCTCTTCCTTCCCAATCACTGGTCCAAACAACACAATAAAACACTCTTTCACATGTCCCACCCTAATATCTATCTGTCTCAGAAAAAATGGAGATAAGAAAATTAGCTGCATGCAAATCTCTCTAGCCCAGGTATCATTCCAGCCCACCCCTCTGCCGTTTCTTTCACTATCCCCACTTCCACTCTCCCAAAAAACTGAAACTGTTAGGGAAAAAAGCCTTTGCATCAACAACTGTGCATAAACATTGAAGCAACAGGGGAAAGGAGTGAATGGGCAAATTCTTCCTAGCATAGGTGGAAACTGACTAGACTCTCCTCTGACCTTGTCAGTATCACCAGAGAACAGAGGAGACATCTGCACTGGTTTCCTCCTCTACTTTTGTGATAAAACATATGAAAGCCATTCCCAGACGCAGATGTGTAGAAATGAAAAAAAGATGCCATGCGGAAGGCTGAAATTTCTGTCTGCGAGAACACATCCATTGACAAGTCCCTCTCGCACACAAATGGCTAGGAAGCTGACAAGCACTTGTAGATCCACTTTCTCACCTGGCCACTCATCGATTTCAAAACCAGACACATCTGCATTTAAAAGCTTTCCCACGTGCAAGCTCTAAAACATCTGAACTACCAAGTTACAGCCTGCTCCAAGATGGGCAGCCCTACAAATATACAATAAAACCGTGTAAGAAACTGGTCCCCAAATGCACAATCGGGTTCCAGGTGCGTCTGGAGCTGACAGTGTTGAAGACTGCTGCTGTTCAGCAGTACATCAGGGAACCCTACCACCCACTCCCTGCCAAACTCCATGTGGCAACACGGGACTCACTTCCTCGTAGGACTGTGCCCGCATGCCCTCTTCCCACCCCATCACAACTTCTGCACGTAACGACCCACACGCGCAAAAGGCCCATACAGTGCAGGAGAGCCATCCTCTCTGCGCACAGGTTGCTCCCGACAAACGTCCACCGAAATTCCCCTTCCTGGATGCAACATCCACCCACCACCCAGATCTCGGCCTCCTCCTTTTTCTCCCCAAATCCAGCTCCCTTCTTTTCATCCAAAATCAATCCACCTCCTTTTCCTCTCCTCCTCCGAGGCGGCCTGTGTGTGCAAGGGCTTTAGCAGGGGTGCAATCCTTCCTTCCCAACCTTTACTAGAAACCGGATGGCGATGAAAACACACACAAAATAAAAGAGCCGACAGGGACGGGGGAGAGAGAGAAATGCACAAGAGAGAATGCGACATGGATATTTTTTTTGGAGGGGGGTGGAGGGAGGAAATACACCCAAGCAGCCTTTTTCTTCCTTCCCCCTCTGCAAAAGCTGGGTTTGGCTTCTCCCTCCCACCTTTCCCATTAAGCGAACCCCGGAGGGCGGAAAGCGAAGGGCCCTCCCCCTCCCTTCAGAAATGGTCCCTCTCACTCGCCGTAGGACGGCGGCGGCGGTGAGGGAGGGAGGGAGGGGGAGGGGAACGTCCCCGCATCGGGCCTGCATCGTGAGAGGGGCCATCCCATAATAATCCTCCCCCCCTCTCCCTTCCCCCCCCCGCGCTCGTGTGGGTTTGTGAAGAGAAAGAGGGAAAGGCCTTTTTGTATTTGAAAAAATATAATAGCACCTCTTACCTGAGGGCCTGGTCCCCTCCCCCCACGCGGACTCACCCTCTAAGGAGCCACTTCTCCCGCCCCCCTCCCCTCTCCTAAGGAGAGAGAAGAGAGAACAAGGCAGCCGAGCATGGACGGTGCAACTTAACTTCTCTCGGGGGCCCTCCAAGCCACGCCCACCGCTCCTCCGCCAGGCTACGGCCGACGACGAAGGACCCGGGAGGCCTGGGGGCGGGGCCAGGCAGCAGGTTAGGTTGAGAGAACCTTCCAGGAAGTCAGTCTCTCTCTCCTGGGGGAGGGGGAGAAGGGAAGCGGGAGCGGGGGAAGCGGGCCTCCAGCTCGTGGAGAGGCTGCCTAAGGAAGTCGCCTGATTTATTCCGTGCCACCAATACAAATAAAAGTAATATACAGTATTGTTGAAGGGCTGTTGTTTTTAAACCATGGGGGCCTGTGGAGAGGTGGCAATATCATCTTGCCGCGGCCCGCGCCCCGGCAGACGGGCAATGCGTTAGGCGCCTATATGGGGAAGCCATCTTGGGAGGGATGGAGAGGCGTGGGGGGCCAGAATTGTGGCCCCATTGCAAAAGCAGCCTTGCTTGTGATATATGCATACGCTTATGCCCTTTATTTGTTTGCCCTTTATAACAGTCCTGCAAGGCAGGCCACTGTGGTTAGTTTCCCATTTCACAGAGGAGGAAAACTGAGCCTGAGCAGTTTGGGACATGGAACAGATTTCACGCCTACCTGGTCTATTTTCCGTCTCTTGGTCCATATGATGATGCTGGTCCATATGATAATGAAAGCTAGAAAATCTGACTTTGCCCTCAAGTAGTGAAACCATATGGTATTTCGTACTTCGTCTCAAGGAAGTGGGATTTGACTTGCAGGCTCCATGATTCATTCATGGCCTTGAGACATTGAAGACGGCTATCATATATCCTCTCAGCATCCCCATATCCAGACTAAACATACCCAGATCATCTTTTTCCAAGATGATGAAGGACCATTAGGGTTGCCATATTTCAAAAAGTGACAGTCCAGAGGACACAAGTTGTTAAGTTGTTGAGCCTTTTTTTTTTCTTTTTGGAAAAGTTGAGTACAGTGGTACCTCGGGTTAAATACTTAATTCGTTCCGGAGGTCCGTACTTAACCTGAAACTGTTCTTAACCTGAAGCACCACTTTAGCTAATGGGGCCTCCTGCTGCTGCCGCGCCGCTGGAGCCCAATTTCTGTTCTTATCCTGAAGCAAAGTTCTTAACCTGAAGCACTGTTTCTTGCTTAGTGGAGTGTGTAACCTGAAGCGTATGTAACCTGAAGCGTATGTAACCCAAGGTACCACTGTATTGAGCTTTTTCTACTGAACACTCTTTCAGGGGTTTATCAGAAATAAATCCTAATGTGCTCAATGTGGCTTACTTCTAGGGAAGGATGCATAAAAATTATACAGCTGGGATGGACCCTTAGAATCCACAATCTTAATCTTGACCCTAAACAATCTTAATCTTGACCCTAAACAATCTTAATCTTGACCCTAAACAAATGCCCATGCAGGAGCACCTCTGGATGTGTTTTTCGCATTCTGCAGAATGTGTCACTCCCACCCCTTTGAAATACATCATTCTTCCATCAAAGAAAGGACTACCCCTGCATTTAATCACCCACAGATCTCCCCTTTCAGTTTAATAAATTGCAGAACAGGCAATGGTTGTATATACAACTTCCATTTCAAGCACGCACACACTCCCCCAAGAATTGTGGGGGCTGTAGTTTACCCCTCACAGATCTATAATTCCCAGCACCCTTAAGCTACAGCTTGCATTATTACCACCCCCCAGAGTATGTGTGCTTTAAATGTATGGCATGTATGCATCCTCACCCCACTATAACTCAGTGGAAGAGCACATGCCTTGCATTTAGTAGGTTGCCACATTCAGTTCCTCGCATCTCCAGTTTGAAAGGATCAGCAGCCGGATGAACATAAGTCCTACTGGATAAGGCCAAAGCCCCCTCTAGTCCAGCACCCTGTTCTCACAAGGGCCAAACAGGTGTGCCACAAGCAGGACCTGGGTGCAACAGCATTCTCCCCACCTGAGGTTCCCATCAGCTGGGATACTCCCTCTGAAACCTACACAGACATGTGGAACATTAATGTGTTTTATAATGTGTTTTAAGTGCATTGCTGATTTTGGGAGAAGTTTTACATAGTTGTTTTAAACTATTGTTACTGCAGTGCTTTTGCCTTACTCTCTTTGTAAACTGCTTTGAGGATTTTACAATCAAGAAATGTATACATTATATGTATATTCTAAAGATCTCTGCCTAGGCACAAAGCACATTCCTTTGTTTACTCCAATAGCCAGAGATACTATCTCTTGCCCGCAAAGAGGATGTCACTGCGCTCAAAGCTTGTTGGTAGCTTCTGTTATGGAGCTGCCATGGCAGGATGCAAAAGAGTCAAGTCCATTCGATATATCAATTTTTCCTTTCTTCTCCCAATATATAAATACATGCCAGAGATATAATCAGTTTCATTGGACTGGTCATGTGGTCTGGATGCCTGATTATCGTCTTCCAAAACAACTACTCCATTACCAGCTTAAGAACAGAAAGTGAAATACCAGTGGACAACAAAAGAAGTTTAAAGTCGCTCTCAAGGCAAACCTAAAAAAAGGCAGTATAAGCACGGAAAACTGGGAAACAATGGCCTACCAGCGCTCCAGTTGGAGAACAGCCTTCACCATGGACTTTGAAGAAGCACAAACTCAGGATGAAAGGGAGAAACGCACTAAGAGGAAGGCATGCTTGGCAAACCCTCACCATGATCAACTCCCGCCCGGAAACCTATGTCCCCACTGTGGAAGGACGTGTGGATCCAGAATTGGCCTCCATAGTCACTTACAGATTCACTGTTAAGACCGTGTTCATGGAAGACAATTTTACTTGGTCAGGAGTGATCACCAAAGAAGATGAAGAAGAAGACACGTCAGAGAATAATGTCAAACATGGAAATATTTAATACAAAGCTGAAACAACAGTGCAGTAGATCTTAAAATCTAAGATTGGTTAAATTAGCCTGGATTACACTCTCCCCAGCTCCTCTGCCAAGGCGTCTGTGAACCCAAAGTGTGGGCAATGGATAGCTCCAACATTAGAAGAGGAAACTGCTGGAGGAAAGGCACAGATTGGTGGAGGAGGGAACCTGGAAGCAGCATTCGCCTACGAGGGAGTGAAGAGAGGTCCTCAAATGAGAGGCTTTTGGAAGAGTTACTACTAGCACCCCAACAGCCACCAGCCAAAATCAACTCTAGGGCAGAGATAGGCTGTAACAAGGTCAAGGGAAGGTGAGCTTGAAGGATTCCTGCCCCCAGTGTGGTGCCTGAAACCGAAAGAGAGAAAGAGAGCATGACACGGAAGAGCCTGGATGGACTTCAGGGGAAATTCAGCAGCAACCTGACCGGTCTCCAGAGGCCTGACGACCGTGGCCGGCGGATGATCTTCCTGTGGGTTCCTGGGGGCCGATCCTGATGCCGTTTCCCTGTAGGTGGAGAAATAAAAGCGCTTAGTTAACAATAATCCGAAGGAAAGCCAGGACTGCTTTGACCGCTTTAATGATACCATCTATGACCGCCCAAGCCCATTTTGGCAAGCCGCAGAAAGAGGCAGTCCCTCTAGGCCAGGAGTAGCCAATCTTGTTCCCTCCAGATGTTGATAGGAGTTGTGGACCAGCAATATCTGGAGGGTGAAGCATTGACTACCCTTGCTCTAGCCAGCGGCTGTTTCCTCCAAGAGACTCCTTCAACCGAGTCTTTTAAAAGTCTGAAACTGGGTTTCTGTAGTTTCCAGCATTGCTGCCTCCGTCTGTGGAGACAGAACATAGCCACCGTGGCTAGGAGCCATCAATAGCCTCCATTAATTTGTATAATCCTCTAATCTAAACCTTGGTTTAGTGCTGCGTGAATGAGCTCTGCCTCCTTCCAGCCAGTACATTCCCTGCTCTCCTTCTCTGCGTGAGCAGGAGGAATCTGGAAGCATTTACCTTCTTTTAAACACAGCTTTTTGTTTGTCTCAGCTGAGGAACATGATTTAACCCTAAGTGTTGTTTCAACCAGCACATGGTTTGATGTAGGTTTAAAAAACAAAACAAAAAAACAACAACCATAGTTCATGTTCAAACCATTATCTTGGTTTGCGTTTAAGCAACAAGTTACATTTAAGCTGGGAAGCTTTCACTTTCTCTATCTTCTCCTAGCCATGTGAAAGGCGATGACAGGAGAGCATGACCTGAGGAGGCAGCTAGGCTTGTTCATGTAGCATTAAGTGATGGTTTATCACTACAGTCTAATGTGACTATCGTCTGAGCTGGTATAAGGCAACTCTCGATGTTCGCTAGGGATGTGGGTGGCACTGTGGTCTAAACCAGTGTTCCCCAACCTTGGGCCTCCAGCTGTTTTTGGACCACAATTCCCATCATCCTTGACCACTGGTCTTCCTAGCGAGGGATGATGGGAGTTGTAGTCCAAAAACAGCTGGAGGCCCAAGGTTGGGGAACACTGGTCTAAACCACTGAGCCTCCTGGGCTTGCTGATCGGAAGGTTGGCAGTTCAAATCCGCACGACAGGGTGAGCTCCTGTTGCTCTGTCCCAGCTTCTGTCAACCTAGCAGTTCAAAAGCATACCAGTGCAAGTAGATAAATAGGTTCCACTCTTGTGGGAAGGTAAATGGCATTTCTGTGTGTTCTGGCTTCCGTCACTGTGTTCCGTTGTGCCAGAAGCAGTTTAGTCATGCTGGCCCCATGACCCGGAAAGCTGTCTGTATACAAACACCAGCTCCCTCGGCCTGAAAAGCGAGATGAGCGGCGACCACATAGTCGCCTTTGACTGGACTTAACTGTCCAGAGGTCCTTTACCTTTACTTTTTACCTATGTTCGCTAGTATCTTAATATACAAAATCAAGTTTTATTGCGTTAAAATTTAATACAAATCACTTTACAAATCTGAGAACTACTTGTACTGACACACATAGCCATTAGCCAATCCCCACCCCAACCCCATCACAAAATTTTGAGCTACAGGTTTGATGGGCCATCAAGGGAGGCCACTAGGTCTGACTTGCCTCGTTGTTAACATCAAAATAGCCTTGCTGGATCTTTTTATAGATGGCTTTAGCTGTGTGGAGAAAGGCCTGGAAGGAGTAGATAGAAGGGGGAAAGTTTTTTTAAGAAACAAGCAAGATGGGTAAAATAATACAGCAATAAAGACAAGTTCCTATCCTGCACATCAAAATGGGACACAGAAATGGGTCTGGCACTAGGACAGAGGGGGAGGTATTTTCCCTCTTCCAGGGCACTGCATTCCATACTGTCTACCCATCCCGTTTTTCTGTTTTCCTCCTCCAAATCCACAGTCAGCATTCTGTCCCTGCTAAGTTTGCTCAGTCCCCACCAGAGGGAACGATACAGGCCAAAATATATGCAGGCAAACCATTCTAATGAAGGCTGTACAGGATGAACTCTCCAGCAGCTGTTGGGTATCACAGATAGCTGCTAGCTAGCCATGGCAGGAAGATGGACCTGAGCACCAGCAAATCCCCTCTTCTCTGAGCCCTTATTGTCCGTATAATACATGATTGGGCTTGTAAACAGTTACTTCATGGGTCACCTGTAGCAAACAATAATTACCTTCAAGCAATCAGGCAAAGAAGCTTTTCTAAACTGTAAGAGAGCTGGGTTCTTCCCCACCTCTCCGCACCCCCTCCCAACCATATTCCACAAATAACCATCTAGATATGGTGTGGTAAGGAGGCTAGCAGGCCCCCCCACCCCACTCCACATCAGCTACATCCCCCCCCCACACACCTAATTGGAAAACTGCACAGTTAAATGGACCTGGGAGAATCCAGGAACCTCTGTACGCCTCCAATGCCAGTCATACAAGTCTAAATGGGGACTTCTGTTTCCATTTAAAGTTTCTGGTCCTCATGACAGCTAAGATGGGCATGAAATTGTATGGATGGGGATTGTCAAAACCTCAGAAGCCAGGGCAGTGCAGGACTTCCAAGGAGCAGGCTTTCAGACCTTCAGACCTTCCCATCTGTAGCTCAGCGAGAGAACATGCGTCTTGCATACACAAGGTCAATTCCCAGCATTTCTAGGTAGCAGTGGGAGAGAACTCTGTTGGAAGTTCTGGAAAGCCACCTTCAGTCCGTGCAGGCCAGAGGTTTTCAACCTTTTTGAGTCCATGGCTCCCTTGGCCAATTACATTCTTTCTGCGGCACACACTCAGGAGCCAGTTATGTCACCCCCTGCCTGCAGAGCTGGCAGCCTCTCGCCCTTTTTCGAACACCTTTGTGGAGTGTTCCCTCAGCTTCCTCTGCTCTCCCCTCTACTTAGGAGTCCTCTGGGCAGACGCTGCCACTGCCCCCGGTCTCTGATCTGCCCCCATCCAAGGAGAGGTGCCTCCTCACACTGCCCCACAGGGGCCTCGGAAGAGGATACACCCAGCCTCAGTATCCCAACGGAGACTGGCCAAAGGTGAATGTGAGGCCAGCACCTTACCTTGGGAGGGAGCAGGGGCAGCAGCGGGCACTCAGCTCCCAGGCAGGCCTTGCACACAGCAAGCACAAGAAAGGCCAGTGCAGTACTTGCTTGCCCTCCTCTCACTAGCCTCCATTCCCAACAACAAGGGCTGGTGGACCGGCTGGCTGGGCTCCCTCGCCCACTTGCTTGCTTACTCCAAGGCAGCCTTCACTCCTGGCAACCAGCACCCCCTGGCCAGCCCCAGAGGCACCATTTGCCTGTGGAGCTTGTAGCCAGGGCTGCTGCAACAAACAGTTGTGCAAGCCTTTGGGAGGCAGAGACGTGAGAGGGAAGCCTTTGGGAGGCAGAGACGTCAGAGGAGGGAAGGAAGGAAAGAGGGACAGAGGCCAGTGTTGCCCGCAGCACCCCTGACCATCATTCAAGGCACCCCAGGGTGCCATGGCACACTGGTTGAAAGCCACCGGTGTAGACAATACTGAGCTTGATGGACAAGTGGTCTGATTCAGTATAAGAAATCTAAGCAGTATATGTTCTCCTGCATGTGGTAAGCAGAATAAGGTATGTGAATGCTTTTCCTGGCCCAAAAGGAAACACGGACTGGAAGGGAACTGGGGGGATAGGCAAGGACCCAGGACTTTCTTCACCTCTTCTACATTGGATGCTGTCTTTGCAGAGGTCTCCATGAAAACCATGCCGTGTTCCCGGGCAAAAGCCTCACCTTCTTCCTTCCGTACAGCTCGCCGATTCTCCAAGTCACTGTGGGATGAGAGAGGCAAGAAATATTAATTAATAATAATTTAATTTATGAATGACTCCCTACGAAGCACCTTGAAGTGATTTCACAATACAGTGCAAACATGTATGAAAACAAATGCAGATATATTCTTGTTCTTATTTATTCCACTTAATTTACAAATGAGCTAAACTACCACCTCAAGGTGATTTACACATAAAATATTATAGAAACATCCCAATTCACTATTATCTTCCCCAGGGGTCAGCAAACCTTTTCAGCAGGGGGCTGGTCCACTGTCCCTCAGACCTTGTGGGGGGCCGGACTATATTTTGGAGGGATTAAATGAACGAATTCCTATGCCCCACAAATAACTCAGAGATGCATTTTAAATAAAACCACACATTCTACTCATGTAAAAACACCAGACAGGCCCCACAAATAACCCAGAGAAGCATTTTAAATAAAAGGGCACATTCTACTCATGTAAAAACATGCTGATTCCCGGACCGTCCGCGGGCCGGATTGAGAAGGCGATTGGGCCGGATCCGGCCCCCGGGCCTTAGTTTGCCTACCCATGATCTACCCCGAGTCCTTGGCCGGTGGGGGTGGGGGAACAGGTGAGTTGGGAAGCAGAAGATGACCGGATACCTCTTATTGCCGATGAGCATGACCACCATGTGGGAGCTGGAATGCTGCCGAGCATCTTCTAGCCAGGTGTACAAATGGTTGAAGCTTTCCCGTCTGCACAAGAGCAAGAAAGGCAGGTCAGGGTGTGCAGTAGGCGGAATGGGAGCCTAAAGTTCCACCACTCATCTGGGCCAGCAGTGAGCGGAACATAAAGTCCCTGTCCCCTCCCCCAAGTTAAACTCTGTGCAGCACATTCTCAGCCATGCGGACCCTAAGACCCACGGTCTGACGTCGTAAGAAGAGCCTGCTGGATCAGGCCAGTGGCCCATCTAGTTCAGCATCCTGTTCACGCAGTGGCCAACCCAATGCCTGTGGGAAACCCGCAAGCAGGATTTGAGCACAGGAGCACCCTCCTCTCCTGAGTAATTTCCAGAATTACTCCAGCTGTGGAGGCAGAGCATAGCCGTCCTGGCTAGTAGCCATTGAGAGCCTTGTCCTCACCTGGTGATGTCATACACCAACAGAGCTCCGGCAGCCCCTCTGTAGTATGAGCGAGTGATGGAGCGGAAGGATTCCTGGCCAGCCTTTGGAGTGGGAGAGAACCAATCAGGAAAGACAAAAAAATGGAGCTGTCTAAACTACTAGCTAAGCATGCTCACACCTATAGCACTCATCCCCTTTCCATCCCTCTTCCCAGGAAACCCTGGGCATTTTAACTGGAATAGAGGCCTCCTAACTGTTTTAGGGCATACAGTGGTACCTCTGGTTACATACGCTTCAGGTTACAGACTCCGCTAACCCAGAAATAGTGCTTCAGGTTAAGAACATTGCTTCAGGATGAGAACAGAAATCATGCTCCGGCGGGGCGGCAGCAGCAGGAGGCCCCATTACCTAAAGTGGTGCTTCAGGTTAAGAACAGTTTCAGGTTAAGTACGGAGCTCCGGAATGAATTAAGTACTTAACCCGAGGTACCACTGTATCTGTACCATACGTTTAAAGTACTATACCACTTTAACAATCATGACTTCCTCCAAAGATCCCTGAGAAATATAGTTTGTTAAGAGTGCTGAGAGTTGCAAGGAGACCTTTATTCCCCTCAGAAAGCAACAATTACCAGAGCGCTTTTTCAACCCATCTTTCCAGGGAACTCTGGGAATTGTAGTTGTTGTAGCAGCACCCTTAACAAACTACATTTCCCAGGATTCCTGGAGCAGTGGGGAGCCACGACTGTTAAACTGATGTAAGAGTGCTTTAAATGTATGGTGTAAACGTGCCCCGGTCTCCTTAGCCCTCAAATCCCTCTCCCCACTCTACTTTCCAAAATTCAGACCCACAACCCCTCCTCCGAAATTCCAGCCTCTCTATTCTCCTAATTTGTTCTGTTCTTCCTTCCAGCTCTGCAACCCTGGAGCAGTTGGTTAAACAGGGCTGGAGGAATAATTTCCTCCCTGTCAACACTTAATTAAAACAAACCAAAACAGGCTGGAACACTGGCTGGGAGCAGATACCCAAGATGGGGATAGGCAACCAACTAAAACAAAATGATCCCTGTGAAGCTAAAATGCACTCGCTCTGTTTTGGCACTCCAGTCCCCAAGATCGTTCCTTTCACATTGCAAAGGGTCAAGGCTTCAAGGGGAGCTCACCGTGTCCCAAATTTGCAGCTTGATCTTTTTGTTGTCAATGGTGACCATCCGTGCACCAAACTCTACACCTGGTGGAGAAATGGAAGAAGAGGAGAAACCTCAGAGGGGAGGAACTCTCCACAACCCCAACCCGCCATATCATTCAACCCATGTTTCTCATTATAACCCGGCCTGTGAATACCCCCCGCCTGAACTCCTTCCAGTTCTACCACCTCAGCCAACCAAAGGTCTTCTGCTCCTATAAGCGACCCATTCTCCCTCACTGGTCCTTAGACATGAAACTCCTGGCTTGGACACATATGTGGCATCTTTTCTCTCCTTCCTGTTGTCCTCAAATCCAGCAGCAGAGCAAGCCGATCAGGCACCTGGAGCGGCGCATGCCCTGCACCCAGGGGCGGGGCCAGCTGGGGCAGGACACTCCATGGGGCCTCCGAGGAGTCAGTCTGCCTCCTCCCACTCAGCTGCTCTACAGCTGAGGGGGAGGCAGTGGGCGGACCGTTTGGGGCAGCACGGAGCCTGCGGGCACGCAAGCCACTATGTCCCTCCCAGGAGAGACGCGTGGCTCAGGCGCGCTGCAGGCCCCACGCTGAGTGCTGCCTGGCATTTTATCACCCCCCTCAGTGGTGACACCTGGTGCGGACTACCCCCACTGCACCCCCCTTCCTTCGCCTCTGCTCAAATCCCCCTTTATATTCATGGGTTATCTTCTTCCTCCTCATTCCCACCTGCTATCCAAACCGCTATGCATGTGTCTTTGGTCTTAACCACATTCATTCCTCCAGGCTTTTCCCATCATCTCTCTGTGTCACTCTTTTATCTTAAATTGCAGGCTCCTGGGGTGTGGAGACCCTTTTTGCCTATGTGGCTCTGTGTATGTACATACTTACTTACATATATACACATACAGAGAGAGATAGAGAGGGAGAGCTTACTGTATGCTTGTGAAACATGGACCACTTTTAAATGCCATCTACAACTCCTTGAAAGATTCCATTAATGGTGTCTCCAAAATTTTTTACACATCACTTAGGAAGACAGGCGAACTAATGTCAGTGTACTGGAAGAAGCAAATATTACCAGTGTCAAAGCGATAATTCTTCAACAATAACTTCATTGGACTGGCCACGTTGTGAGGATGGCTGATCGTTTCCCAAAGCAACTACTCTATTCCGAACTTAAAAATGGAAAGCGTAATGCCGGTGGTCAACAAAAGAGGTTTAAAGACTCTCTCAAGGCAAATCTTTAAAAAAATGTAGTATAAACACTGACAACTGGGAAACACTGGCCTATGAGTGCTCCAGTTGGAGAAGAGCCTTTACCAAAGGTGTTGTGGGCTTTGAAGATGCTCGAACTCAGGATGAAAGGGAGAAACGTGCTAAGAGGAAGGCACATTTGTCAAACCCTCACTGTGATTAACTCCTGTCTGGAAACCTATGTCCCCACATTTGGATCCAGAAACCTATGTCCCCACATTTGGATCCAGAATTGGCCTCCACAGTCACTTACGGACTCACTGTTCATACTGTGTTCATGGAAGACAATCTTACTTGGTCATGAGTGATTGCCAAAGAAGAAGAAGAACACACACACACACACACACACACACACGAGAGAGAGAGAGAGAGAGAGAGAGAGAGAGATGATGCTGTTGTTATGGACTGCATTTCTGTACATGCTGAAAAAGAGCCTCTGTGCCCCCCTGTTCTCTCCCTATTGCCCAGCTATAGGGCATTGTGTCCCCCCCCCAGCTTTGTTCCTCCAATCCAAATACATGCAACAACACCCCCTCCTCTGGAACCCTGCTTAAATAATACCCTAAGGCCCACTGGGGACTTACCTATGGTCAAGTCATGGACAGCTGTGAACCGCTTATCTGTAAACTGTAACAAGAGGCAGGATTTTCCAACACCTTTGGAGGAAAAAAAAAAGAAAATAAATTCAGAAGCTGTTGTACAAAAACAAACAAACAAAACCCTTTGATCAGTGGTGGCTGGTGCCCATTGAGACCCGTAGGATGGAAGGAAAAAGGCCCACAAATGCCAGTGCCAAGCAGAGACACCTAACTCTAGCTTTGCTCCCAGCTGAGTTCTACAAAAGCAACACCTGCAACAAGGAGGAAGCCCACAGACAGTGCTGCCCCTGGTGGAGGCTGGCAGAGGGCTAACTGATGTTTATTTTTGTTTTAATTTTATTTATTTATTCAATTTATATACTGCCCTTTATCCAAATATTCTAGGGCGGTATACAACATTAGGAACTTAATTTATGTGGCGTAAGAATAAAGACACAGCATAATCATCAAACAATCGTAATAACAGGCCCCCCCGCCACATTTAACAGGCCATAGATTGTTTAATGGCCAAAGGCAAAGAGGACTGTTTTCACCTGGCATCTAAAGTCATGTAATGATGGCTCTGGGTAAGCCTCTCTGGGGAGAGCATTCCACCACAGAAAAGGCTCATTCTCATGTTGCCATCCTCTGAACCTCTCAGAGAGTGGGGACATAGAGAAGGGCTTTGGATGACAAGCAGAGGGTCTGAGTCAGTTCATATGGGGAGAGGCAGTTCTTAAGGTACAGTGGTGCCCCGCAAGATGAATGCCTCGCAAGACGGAAAACCCGCTAGACGAAAGGGTTTTCCGTTTCGGAGGCGCTTCGCAAGACGAATTTCCCTATGGGCTTGCTTCGCAAGACGAAAACGTCTTGTGAGTCTCACCATTTCCCCCCCGCTTCCCCCCCCTTTTTCAAAGCCGCTAAGCCGCTAGTAGCCTTTTAACAGCTTAGCCGCTAAGCCTTTAATAGCTGCTAAGACGCTAAATCGCTAATAGCGCTAATTCGCTTAGCCGCTAATGGGGTTGCTTCGCAAGACGAAAAAACCGCTAGACGAAGAGAATCGTGGAACAGATTCTTTTCGTCTTGCGAGGCACCACTGTATTGAGATCCTGAAGTTTTGTAGGTCAAAACCAGCATTTTGAATTGGTTGGTGGGGCAGGGCCTTCTTTGCCCTATGGACCGGCCTCGCTGCCTGCGAGTTGTACAAGTTACATGGAAGCCTCTGCAAACATCTTGGGAGAATTTCCACACTTTCTCTTGAGACTTTATTTATTCGCCATATACACAGTAGTTCCTCCTTTATACAGCCGTCATGCTCCCTTTTATGTGGCTCTTACACTGGCTTTATCAATGCTGTTTTTAAATGTATGTTTTGCTATTTTTCCCATTTGTTTTATATTTGTAATTTTGTAACACTGCCCAGAAACAACATGATCCATAATTCGGGGAGAAAAGGCAAGTAGGCGAGGCTAAACAAGAATGTCTTTGCTCTTCACTAATGTGAAGGACCTCTGGAAGTGAGAGCTGGACCATAAAGAAGGCTGATCGCCGAAGAATTGATGCTTTTGAATTATGGTGCTGGAGGAGACTCTTGAGAGTCCCATGGACTGCAAGAAGATCAAACGTATCCATTCTTAAGGAGATCAGCCCTGAGTGGTCACTGGAAGGACAGATCCTGAAGCTGAGGCTCCAAGACTTTGGCCACCTCGTGAGAAGAGAAGACTCCCTGGAAAAGACCCTGATGTTGGGAAAGATTGAGGGCACAAGGAGAAGGGGACGACAGAGGACGAGATGGTTGGACAGCGTTCTCGCAGCTACCAACATGAGTTTGACCAAACTGTGGGAGGCAGTGGAAGACAGGAGTGCCTGGAGTGCTCTGGTCCAGGGGGTCACAAAGAGTCAGACACGACTAAACAACAACAATGTGAAGGACCATTTAAGGCAGAATTGGAGAACCCATGAGCTTCCAGATATTGCTGGACTCCATCTCCCATCAGCCCCAGCAAACAGCATGGACAATATTCAGGGATGATGGGAGTTGTGGTCCAGCAACATTTGCAGTGTCCCAAGCTCCCCATCCTTTGTAGGCAATAACTCATACTGTCTTGTAGAAAAAAACAGACCCTTTATTTCACTTTCACAATTTGGTTAGCAGACAAGAAACCGCTCCCATCTTCCACTGCTTTGATCAACAGCACAACTGAATCTCACCATCTCTCTGTTCTATACTGGCAGGTAAAAAGGTAAAAGTAAAGGAGCCCTAGAGGGTTGAGTCGAGTCAAACTTGGCTATAGGGTGTGGCGCTCGTCTTGTTTCAGGCTGAGGGAGCTGGCGTTTGTCCTCAGATAGCTTTCTGGGTCTTGTGGCCAGCATGACTAAACAGCTTATGGAGTCTCAGTGTTAGAGGGACTTGTAAGATTATATGTAAGAAATAGTATGATTGGTCTGCAGGGACTTTGCAGGATCTTGGCTTCTGGGCTTAGACCATCTTACCCAAACCTTGTGTATGGTTGGTGAGAGTGGGACTGGGCATTAAGATTACTATATATAATTGATAATATTACTGCTGTTCAGCCTACTCAAAGATCTACATTATAATACTGAAGAGAGCCAGTGGAGACAAGGCATCAGTTGAGGGAGGCCCTTTTGTTCATGACACTTTGCCTCTGCAACTCCCTATTTGTGTCCATTTCCCAGGTTTCCTCCCAGATTACAGTCATGTTCGCAACCCGAGGTATGAGTGTACTGTATCTCTTTGTAAAAGAAACAAACTGAAAATGCTTCCTTTTGCCCTGCCCTGTACACCTTCAGCTTTCAACAAGGTTTGAAACCTGCTGTTGTTACTATTACTATAATATTATTGCAACATAATGCAACAATCTTCCTGAACTGTAGTAACCTGTCATCATGGGTTATATGTGTTTAGACAGTGATTTTTTTTACAGCAGCGATTTTATACCTGTGCTTCATCAGCTGGGTCTAAGATCCCTGCAATTAAGAAGTACAGGGAGGAGGAATTAAAAAACCAAAAATGTAAGGCAGACCTTTCCAAGCCTTTCCGTGGTTCCCACACTGACAGCCCAATTCTATGCATGTTTACTCAGAAGTAAACAGAGTTCAGTGGTGCTGAACTCCCAAGAAGATGTTGTGTTTTGCTAGTTAAAACTTTGCTTTGATCTGTCCTTTTTAATTCTAGTGTGATTTTAGGAAACGTCACGCATCCTTGGGTGCGCTGTGCCAAAAAACAAAAAAAAAAAACAAAAACAAAAAACAAACAAAACAAAAACAAAAACGGGGGGGGAGACTATAAATAATGTCACAAACAAAACAAAACAAATGTGCACAGGATTTGTAGCCTTGTGTTGGGGAACCCAGAGCAAGGAAGTGGTCCTTTTACACAGTGTCAGATGGTCAATATCTGTAAAATGGGATCAACGGTGTCCTTCCTCACAGGGTTGATGTAAGGTCGCACACTCTATATATTGACCTAAACAGCGACCTCTCTCTCTCTCTATGTATGTATATATATATATGTATGCCTTAAATAGTAATATCCCCGCCCCCACCCCACCCGAGGCTGAAACTCCCTCATTTTCCCCGCCCATACCGGTGTCCCCGATGATGACGTATTTGAAGAGATAGGCGTAGGACATGGCTCTGAAGCCCCCCTAAACCCCAGCCCCGGCCTGGAGGTTCTCCAGGGGCCACTCTAGCTCACACAACAGCCGCCATGTCTATTGCTCTCGCGCTCTCTGTCCTTCCTCTCCCTCCCTCCCTCCTCCAGTGACGCTCTGGTTTTCCTTTTCCGGCACCTTTTCCAGCAAGCCGGTGGCTACAGAGCTCACCGGTCCTTTCCGCGGCCGCTCTGGCCCGTCCCTCGTTGGCCGGAGCCACGTTTCCTGCGTCGCTCTAGGCACCCTGGAGGTTTAACGTCACAGCCCCTCCTCCTGCAAAAACAAACGAACAACCCGAACCGTTAAGCGGTTTGCCGAACCGGCCGTTTTGCGTCACATCCGCTGGTCTACTACCCTCTCCCGACGTGTGCGTAGGGACGCTCTAGCATCTGCCCTTCCTCCTGCCCTGCACTACGCTCTAGTCTCCCCCTCGACTCGGCTCTATCCTCTCCTCCTCAACGGCTCAGGCGGGCGTGTTCAGAGAAAGAGCCGCGGCCGTCCGACCGTGGGGGGCTGAGTGGGAAGGAAATTTGCCCTAATAGTTCCCCTCAGAGAAGGAATAAATAGCAGCGGAGGGAAGGCCGGGCGGAAGTGACGCGCGTTCCCGGCCTGAGGTCGGGTGGGCGGAAGGGCTTTCCGGTTCCGGTTGAGGAGCTGGGGAAGAAAGACGGGGGGGAGGGGGAGAGTGCGGCGGGGTCTCCCCCTCTCTTCGGCGAGGCTCTGAGGCTGCGGCCATGGAGGTAAGAGAGCCTAACTGGCGGTAGGGACCCTGGGACAACCACTCTGGGGGGTGGGGTGGGTGACGGTGGGTCCCCCATGCCTTTTAAAAAGGGTCCCCATGGGATTGGCTCTGTGGAGGGAAAGGGCATAATATGGGGCTGGGGAGGAAGGGGAATGGGATGGGGCTGAGGTTATCAGGGGGTCCAGTGTATCCCCCCCCCCCGATTTTTGTTTGGTACCTTCCAACGTATCCTTAAGGAGCCCAACTGACGGCAAAAGAGGGGAGGGGTGCGGGGTTCAGCAGTTGCCTTGGGCCCAACTTGGCCTCTCCTAGCCTGTCCATCTTCCTAACTTCTTATCCCCCCCCCCAATCTCTCTTTTCGCCGCCTCTTGTCATTTGAGAGGATGTGGAGGACCCCCTCTAGCTTTTTCGGCTAGTAGCCACTGGCCGGCTCATCCTCTGTGGGTTGAACCCCACATCAGAGATATGACACAGTTGGGGACGTTTGAGGAAGGTTGTGGGGAGAAAGGGGGTGTCCTTGCGGGAAGGGGATGCCTTGGAAGTGGGGGTGAGAGTTCCACCAGGAAGCAAGTTAATATTTAATGGAGTTCATTCCGGGGCACAAAGGTGAAAGTTCAGACCTTGGCTTGTGCTTGGTTAGAGTGGAATAAGTTCAGCTTGCGTCTTGTACTAATGCCAGCTGTGGATTCCCCCACCCCCACCCCCATTGTGGGTGCTTCACTCCTAGTAACATGGATAAATGTGGCATGGATTGCTCATGGGAAGCTCTTTGCAGATTGTCCTACCTTACATGTGCACAAAAATGGCATTTGTTCTCTAAAAGCCTGTGGTCTTCCTTCTGTGTCTCTTCTCCACATCACATGCACACATTCTTAAATACCCCCAAAATGGCAATAAAATGTTCATCAGAATATACTTGAGTCCATATAAGTTTGTTTTGGGGAGGAAATCAGTTGAATGTCATTTGTTCAGTCTTGATCTCTCCAGGAAAGAATATCTACCCCTCCCAGGATAGATTGGGTAGAAACTAATTTTGCATATAGCTGTTCTCCTATAGTTTGGTCTGTATGGTCCATCTGAAGTTACTCCTCCATCAGCACTTTGGCGTTGCACACTTTCAACCACTTGCACACCATCCTTTTGACATTTGTTGGTCCCATTGGTGTGGCTTGAGTGTAAGATGTGCCCTGCTTGGCTGGGACAGACAGTTGGATCCAGTGACCTCTGGGCTCTTCCGAACCTGAAGTTGTGGGCCAACTACACATGCCTTTGCCTACCTATTTACCTTCAGATGGTTTGCACTATGACTCCCATCAGCCCCAGCTAGCCTGACCATGCTGGCTGGGAGTGATGGGAGTATAGTCCAAAACATCTTGAGGGAATCAGATTGGTGAAGGCTGCCCTACCCCTTGTTGTATTCGGTCTGCTCATGTTAGCTTGGAATACAGTTGAGCTGCATGATGACTGCAGATGTTTCCTCTCATAGCATGCTCAGTTGCCCTTTATAGTCTTTCAAAACCTGTGTGAGGCAGTGATGTCATTGCTCATCTTGGGCAGGGCACCTTGGGACTACCTGCATCCAAGGAGTGCCTTGGAGCATGTGCTTGGATGAAGGTCAAAGTACCACTCATTTAGCTCACTGACGCTGCTTATTACAAGGTGCCTGTGCATGAAATGATTAGTAAAGGTACCCCTGCCCGTACGGGCCAGTCTTGACAGACTCTAGGGTTGTGCACCCATCTCACTTAAGAGGCCAGGGGCCAGCGCTGTCCGGAGACACTTCCAGGGTCACGTGGCCAGCGTGACAAAGCTGCATCTGGCAAGCCAGCGCAGCACACGGAAACGCCGTTTACCTTCCCGCCAGTAAGCGGTCCCTATTTATCTACTTGCACCCAGGGGTGCTTTCAAACTGCTAGGTTGGCAGGCGCTGGGACCGAGCAACGGGAGCGCACCCCGCCGCGGGGATTCAAACCACCGACCTTTTGATCGGCAAGCCCTAGGCGCTGAGGCTTTTACCCACAGTGCCACCCGCGTCCCTATGAAATGATTACCTGACCTTAAAATTGACTACAGGTAGTTGTCCTTGCAACAGACCTGCTTACGCCATATGGAGCTGTGTTCAGGGGGCTGTAGATCAGGGAGTCTGAAGTGGCAGGAAGGCTTAAGAAGTTCTAAATTCACATTTGTGCTTGGCTGTATGTATGTGTTCAGAAGCACCAAATAGGAATTCCAATGTGTTTTAATATTTTTTCAACTCTCTGCTCTGTTAGAGCATAGGGAACTGTATTATACTGAGTCAGACCACTGGCCCATCTTGCTCAACATTGCCCACACTTGACTGGCAGTGACTCTCCAAGGTTTCAGGCAGGGAACAATCCCAACCCTACCTGGAGATGCTGGGGACTCGACCTGGGACCTTCTACCAGGAAACAGTTTCCTCTGTCTCTGAGCTGCAGTCAGTTCAAACGTTACTTGTCAGGAGTAAGATTTGAACCCATAACTCAGGGGAGATGGTGACAAGAGAGCCGGAGTGGTGTAGTAGTTAAGAGCAGTGGACTCGTAATCTGGTGAACTGGGTTCGCATCCCTGCTCCTCCACATGCAGCTGGTGGGTGACCTTGGGCCAGTCACACTTCTCAGCCCCACTCACCTCACAGAGTGTTTGTTGTGGGGGAGGAAGGGAAAGGAGAATGTTAGCCACTTTGAGACTCCTTCAAGTAGTGATAAAGCGGGATATCAAATCCAAACTCTTCCAAACTTTGTAGGCACCTCAGCCGTCCTAGCTTCTTAAATCATAGTGGCTCCACTGGGGCTCAAACACACAACCCTCTGTGTTTAAGCAGATCTTACAATCATGAAATCCACATGTTGTGCCCTTGCCATGAGAAGAGGCTGAGGATATCCTTGTGCGGTTGCTAGGCAACTGCAGCATACTTCCTCCCACACCCATTAAGATTATGGTTATCCAGGACCTGGAGCCTTGGGGCAGGAATGTTCAGCAGTGAGTTTTGATGCTTGTGCACACAAACCCCCAGTCTGGCCCTCTGCATAGAAACCAGGCGGAACTCTGAAAATGGTAGAGTCCCTTTCAGCCGAGTCTCTTCCATTCATTCATTTGGTATGGGGAACATGAATATACAAAGCTGCCCTTAACTGAGTCGAATGATAAGCCCATCTAGTTTTCTACTCTGACTGGCAGCAACACTCGAGGGATGCAGCAGCACCCTCCCCCCAAATCTTTATACAATAACTGCACAACACCAGAGGTTTAGAGTGTAGCAATTGGGTAGGGTGATGGATTGGGCTGTTAAGCTTCTTGGCTTCTGCTTCAGTAAGGTTACTGGCCTCTGCTGCTGTGCTTTCTTAAACAGCTGCTCGATTTGCAGACATTAGCAGGAGCAAATGCTGGTCTCAGTGCTGCGAAAAGCTTTTTGTGTGCTGATGCCTGCTAAAGGCTCGGCAGTAGTTTGAATGTTTTTTTTAAAAAAATTATGGGCTGGTGACACTCTCTGCTTTGGACCTTGGGTGAGGCCAGTTGGTGAAAGCATGGGGACAGCCTTGGCACCATAGATGACGTTTACACCCCCTCATTACTTGGTGATGTACCTATATATCATTCAGAAGTGGTTTGATGTCCATATCGTGATAATCAGTTGCATAATTTTTGACCTTGCAATATATCGCGAATCACGATGTGTGTCTGTGTGTGCTATGCAAAAATCACAATGTGGGGAAAACCGTGAAGCTAGCTAGTACCTCTACATAGCTCCATCCTTATTTCAGACATCTTGGCATATCAGTATATTGTGAAGTTTAGCTGGTGATATATAGTGATGTTGAAAAGCAGATATCGCCCAGCCCTACCACTTGGCTGAATGACACTGCACTGGTGACTTTTAAAGCAGCATTATTCTCGGTGTGGTGGTGTGGCAAGGCTAGGCCCAGGTTGAAATTCATTTGCCGCTCAACTACAAAGCTGCATTAGGTGACCCTGGGCAATTTTACTGTCTCTTGGCCTAACTTAAAAGGTTGGATTTCGTGGGCATTCAGTAAAACTGAATGTTGGGTAAAAGACAGCACTTCTTCACACAGCACATAATTAAACTATGGAACTTGCTGCCACTGGAGGCAGTGATGGCCACTGACTTTTGAAAGAGAGTTGAACAAATTAATGGGAGAAGAAGAGAGAGAAGAGTTTGGATTTGATATCCCGCTTTATCACTACCCTAAGGAGTCTCAAAGAGGCTAACATTCTCCTTTCCCTTCCTCCCCCACAACAAACACTCTGTGAGGTGAGTGGGGCTGAGAGACTTCAAAGAAGTGTGACTAGCCCAATGTCACCCAGCAGCTGCATGTGGAGGAGCGGAGACGCGAACCTGGTTCACCAGATTACGAGACTACCGCTCTTAACCACTACACCATACTGGTTACTAGCCACACTGTCTGTGCTCTGCCTCCACAATTGGAGGAATCAGTGCTTCTGAATATCAGTTGCTGAAAACCACAGAAGGGGAGAGGTCTCTTGTGCTTGGGTTCTGCTTGCGGGTTTCCTGCAGGTATCTCGTTGGCCACTGTGAGAACAGGATGCTGGACTAGATGGGCTTTTTTGCCTGATCCAGCAGGGCTCTTCTTATGTGTTCTTATCCTGAGGTAGGGCTGGGAGAAACTCCTGCCTGAAGCCACGGAGAACGGATGCTAGTCAGTGTAGACTCAGGGGTAAAGGTAAAGGGACCCCTGACCGTTAGGTCCAGTCGCTGACGACTCTGGGGTTGCTGTGGTCATCTCGCTTTACTGGCCG